ATGGAATAGAATAGGATTCCCGGTTTGTGCATTCGATAGAGGACGAAAGAATGTCCTCTGCGAGGTTGGTTGGTTCAGGGTTCAGCGTGTGCACGCTCTTCAATAGGGATTCCCTCTAGAACAGGGTCCCTAGACATGTGGGTTGCACAGGGAGGGGGGCTTGGATTTGTGCCTTCGGCATCTTTTTCACCCTCATCTAACTCTACTTCTTCCTCTTCGTCGTCTAATACGACTTTTGTCCCCAAATTTACCACGTCTATGGGCGTTGTAAAACTCTGTTGGAGATTGAAGATTATATCTTGTATTTGCTCAGAGAGGGACTCTTCTCGAATAGCTTTGCGCAACCTTCTGCACTTAGGTACAGCCTCTGCCGGGCCTTCTTGAACCTCGGCCTCTGTGACCTCAACCTCAGTGGGTTGGGCCTTCTTTGATTTCTTCTTTTTGGGTTTTGGCAAAGGACTGTTTGGACCCTCTTCTTCTACGGGTCTCTTTTTCCTTTTTTTTTTCGTAGAAGGATTGGCATCCTTGTGAGTCTTCTTAGACTTCTTTGGCCTTCGTGGGGGACTACTAACTACTCTCGGTCCTTCCTCACTCAGCTCCCTTGCCTCTGCAAGCTCCTTCATTCTTCCCTCAACTCTCATTTTGTGCACTTTCTCACCTATGGGGATACCTATTCGTGGAGGGGTTTCAGGAACCGGCTCTGGCCTCCTATATCCACGTATATAATCCTTCGTATCTCCTTTGCTAAGGTACTTGAGCATAGCTTTCGATAATGGCCTCGGGTTTCTGTAGCCTAGCTCATGCTCTGTTGGATGAAACTCCTTCATTGGGTATAAGAGAGCATTTGGCTATGCAGAGGGCAGCTTCTCTGCAATCATGTCTCCAAAGGCCAAGCTGAAGAACCTCTGTAAGATCAAGTTTGGGTGATTGAGGTCTTCCTTGGCTTTCTTTTGTGCTTTTACCTTCGATTTCTTACCCCGTTGAGTAACACATTTCTTCTTGATTAGGCCCACCATATCATCAAAGATGAGTTGCACGTAATCCAGGGGCATGTTGAAGTATATTCCATAGACTATGGAGAGCATAGCATGAGATGCTTGATCGTGGCTGCCAACCTTCCCCGTTAAGCAACAATTGATGATTGAAAACAGAGTATTCGACATAGGAGGAAGGCCCTTCCTCTTGAATTCGGTCCTTTTGACGATTTTCGTCTTTGCCGTGTATGAGTGGAATTCGAGGAATTCGATCAATTCCGCAACTGATGGAGTTGGTGCAAAGATATCCAAATAAAGATCATCCAGAGTAGGTAGGTGCAGGGCAACACGTAGGGTCTCGACGTTCATCTCCATTGGTACGAGGGATCTGACTATTGGGTGTGACGCATAGCCTATTATGCTTAATACAGCATCTTTCAGGGTGCAAATGTAAGAACTGAGAAGAAATTCGGTGAGATAGGTTTCAGGGGTAGGTTTTGTTGCAGTGAGTGGGTAATAGATGGGGTGGTTCGAAGGATTTCCAATAGAGGATATGTGTATTTAAGGAAGCCATTTGGGGATGGAGCGAAGTAGTAGTTGTTATGTATCTTTACCAGCATCACTTTCTCATATCGATTCTGTAAAAACGATATGGCATGAGAGGTCAGTGCCTGAGATTGGTTCACTTCATCATTGCTTGGGTTGTTTTCGGATTGAGCGGAGGCGGATGCTGAGCTTGAAGACATAGTTGCAGGTTGTCGGAAAGCTTGAGATTTTGCTGGAGGAGTATTTAGAGAAGTGAAGGGGTTTATGATGGGGGGAAGAGTATTTATAGTGACGAATTTTGAATGTGAACCGTTTATTTGGCTATATATCGTGATGAGTGGTTTATGGGAGAGACGAATCAAAATATGTCACGTGGTGTTGGGAAGACGCACGATTGATGACGTGCGCCCCTGTTTCTGACACGCACGTGGTCAACTTTAACCCTTATCCACATAACCACACGCACCATATCAATAATATAAAACTATAGAAGAGTTTTGTCAGAGACCTAAGGGTAACAGAGCCTCTGTGATATGTGTGAGACCTTCTTACATGTTACACCTTTGTATACCTAAATGGTTTGAAAATCCTCAGAGAGATGAGCACCTTCTCAGTTCAGACCCACAGAGCCTCTGATAGAAGCGCCAGAGGTTCTGATGAACTGACCTCTGAGATCAAGATACTTCAAAAGTTTTGGCACCTTCTGAAGTTTTTATTTTCAATTTAAAAACTCCCCCTATAAGCCACCTTCCATGGCTCCCCCTCAAAACAAAAACCATTTAAAAATCCTAAGAAGATGGTAAGTATCGACAGAGGACCTGTTGAAAAAGCCTCTGAGAGTTATCATAGAGGGTCTGTGATTAAAAACATTTTGCTTCTTCAATAGGTTTTATTCCTTTTAAGCATATACTCCCCCTCAAACCTTGCATATCTCTGCGAGGTAAACCTGCTAACTAAGAAAAACAAGTGAAGGTTAACCAAGAAGTAAAACTATATACAAAAAGAGATTATTAAAAGTAAGACATACAACACTTAGAACTATGGGCATGCCATTCCTATTTTTTCAATAAGGAAGTTGAACCTTTTCTCATCAAGGGCTTTTGTAAAGAGATCAGCCAATTGGAATTCAGATTTGACAAAGTATATGTTGGTCCCAAAGGGTCTACAAGAATACTAAACAGTTTGTAGAAGGGGGGGGGATGAATACAAATACAATTTTCAAATTTAAAATATATATTGATAAAGAAGATCAATACAAATTTTACAAGATTGTTTGCGGAAAAATAAGTTATAAGAAACCTATCTAAACAATCTTAAGTTACACACAAAGGATAGCAAATACAAGAAAAGATATTGCTAAAAGATTCTTTTACTTAAGCTGAAAGAAGCTTGAACTAAGAACGAGAATAGAGAGTGATGCGCGCACTCTGCATGGAGAAGAAACACTTCTATTTAAACCCAGT